CTATAAATTACAGACTAGGTATCCTTAATATTCTGTTTTGTTTCTCTCACACATGCACACACTTTTATAATTGTCTCTAGTTTGATAGTCGTACCGTAGGCGACAAGAAGTGTTTTTGCTTATGTACTCTTTCTGCTAGCCGTTTGGGATGGAGAGAGAGGTAGCTGGATCCACAATACAGCAGATTGCACAATGCGTTCGATGACCGTGGGCCAGCTATTGGTTCGGATGATAATGATTCAGTACTCACAGGAGATCACAATGAACCCCGTTTGCTGAATCCCTTATCTTGAGGATAGGTCAGGCTCAGATAGCTACTAATCAAAATGATATTGGGAGCTGAGCTTTTTAAGGAGTGTGGTTGTTATGCAGTGGTCGATTTCTGACAGCTCCAGCACAATGCTTTCGATGCAGAATATCTACAAGGATGGCAGATTTCCTGATACAGGGTGGAGACACAATGCTTTCCAAGACCAGGAACTGCCGAGGATGAGTTCCCACAGTTTGCAGTACAATGATCTACAAGGATAGCAGATTTCCTAATACAGGATGGAGACACAATGCTTTCCAAGACCAGGAACTGCCGAGGATGAGTTCCCACAGTTTGCAGTACAATACTGTTCACTGGTTCGCTCTGGAACAGAGGATTGGTTTTCTCCTAGCTTTTTGATAATTTATACTTTCCAAATCTTTACTTGCTTCTTGTCGTCTTGTGGTGTACAAGGGTCTTGTCGATTCGTCTAGATAGACACGAGTGAGTCTCCTATCGAGGAAGCCGCTGCTTATATCCTCGATAGGCATACGTTAAAACCAGTGGGGATAACGATTTTTATCCTCCCGAGGCGTTAACGTCGCTTTTTGGATTCAATTATTTTGATTTATTATTTGATTTGATTATTTGATTTGACTAATTGGATTAGCGGTTTCTTCAAGTACCGGCTTACTGGTATTTCTATTGTCTTCGGCGCGTGCCGGCTTATAGCGTCTGGGCACTTTGTTTGGTTTGATTACAGTCTGCCGTATTTCGGATTCTAGGAATATTAAAAGTAATAATTTCTAATATTACTTCCTCATAACTGTCGCTGTGACTAGTTTCAAGGGAATTACGCAATATTAGAGATTTAAAGGTCCTGTGTTCCCTTTCCTTTATCGGCGTCGCTGTGAGAGGTCGATAGGATTATTGAGGAAGTCTAGGATTTGAGGAGTTCTCTCAGATACTGTTATGCACATCCACAGTGCGCTATGCACTCTTATTTGGGGCTCTTGACGTATCAATAATCGAGAATGGATGATTAGGAAGGAAAAAGGATGGAGGATAGGGGGGTATAAGGGTGGAACGTTACAGTATATTTTCAGGCCCTAAGCACAATTATCCACATTTATATGTCTTACTGGATATAACTCTTCGGGTGCACTACCCAGAATATAAATTGTTAAACGGATACGTACCCGCAACCTAATATCGTAAATGGCTGCGAGTGCTTCGGCCACGCAGTCTATAAAACTATTTAGAAATAACGGCGGTCATTATTTTTTGAACCAATATTTTTAACGTTGCAATTCGTACTAGAATTCGAACCGCGTACTCATAATTGTGCGAAAACTAACTACCATAAAAAAGATAGGGAATAACATACTTCGCTACACATTTAGATTTGCAATTTGAACACATTTGAAAGCGATATTTCAGACATCCGTAATTTTTTTTTTTTTTTTTGACAGTAGCTGATCGATATGTTACAAATTATGTTAGTGTCTTAAAACATTCTACACACCAAACGGTAATCCTGTCAAAGAATATTTTTATAACTTTGGAGCAAATACTTGTGCTTATGTCCAGAAATACCATCATAACTTTATATTATATTAGGTATAGTTGGTACTAAATTTTGATTTCATAAATGTTTATGAGGTAAGTACTCGAAATCGAAATGTTATTGTAATTGACCTGATACTTTTAACTTGGACATATTTTTGCCAATTTCCTGTTTAAATGGTGAACAAATTAGCATCTAATTCTATGAGATTTAGGTTAAACGAAAGAGGAGTTTATTCATTAGATAATTAGCCGAGCAGTATAATGGAACAATTGGTTTCGATTTTCGAACAAATTTGTTCTTTACGTGAATATGAGTGCCAAGGGTCATTTTCCATGGAAGCAAATACCTTCACTGTATTGGGTGCGATGATGTGGAAAACATACTCTGATTTAAATATCAATGCAACAGCATTGGAACTACGGATACAATTGTGAACGAGCAAATAATTGACAGTGGAATCCCTGGGAAACAGATACATAATAGTGGGACAATATATGTATATTATATAGTTGGTTGACATTATCATGTTTACTAGGCAATACGCGGTGATGTCGCCTATTTTGAGACCGGTTAAAAAAGCATATTCATTATCGCTCATTTTAAACATACTGGGTATCCATTAGAAACGCGTTAACTGAATTCGGCTTTTACTGCAGAAATTAACGAATGGGTTAACCTCAATTGGCGGGTTTATTGAGTCGTAATTGAACCTGTATTTTGAATATCCTACTATTAAACCCAGTTTGTTTTGCCTTCATACGTAACATCTCTAATTCCTCTAGCTAATCATAATCTATATTTTTTTTCTTGCAAATCAGATATATTTTCTTTAGTACTCATGGCTTTCATCCGGAAACCATGAGTACTAATGACAATATTGGCCGTGAAAGCCTAAAATCTCGATATATTTTCTTTTTCATAAAAATTATGTTTTTGTGAAACACAAATTTATAATACATTAAAAACATTCATTTTGTTATGATAAATCGTTTGAGCACGCAGTACAGATTAGGTTTTCAGAGCATATTCTTTTCTCCAACTTGTTTCTAAACTGATACTAATCATTTTTTGAAGTGGATGTATCCTCATGTGTGTGCGCATGCGCGTATTTCCTTCTGTGTGCAGATGTGTCATTAGGTACTATGGTCTATTTATTTTACCCAGCATGAGCCGCGTCCCAGGTAGGAGCTGCTAGCTCTCAACGATTGGATTACGCTTGGTCCAACTTTGGCCTGAATATAATAACCAAGTTTATGCCAAATTTCGGTATTTCAATCGCAGACCTAAGCCCTAGCCAGGTCGCGGCCAACTTCATAGCGCCAATCGTTGATTTCATCTAATCACTATTTTCGTCTATTTGACTTATTTCTTTTCAATTATTCAGAGCTGATAACATTTTTTGCTATGTTACTTTGTAAAATTGAATCTGTGAAAATTTCACTGATTGTTTCAGGTGTTTGAAGATTCACTGAAGAAATAGTGATTTTAGATCCAATCCATTACCAAATGAGTGACTTTGTGTTATACGAGTCCTATAACGGGTGTTTATTGTCGCGGTATCATAGACTATGTTTACACGACGGTCTTAAACCGGTTTAGTTAACACTAATCTAAAGGAATTGACCAATCATAGACATTTATACTCGTAAGAAATATTTTGGATTGGTCAATTCTTTTAGATGATTATTAATTAAACCGGTCTAAGCCCGTCTTGTGACCGTAGTCATATTGTTTTTCACACTCTTACGTCAAGTGCAAGTCGCTGCAGGTGATAAAAACTGGTCATATTTACGAACGATAAATTGATGCAGCTTGTACCTACTGTGACGTTGTTCCGTCAACAAAACGTAAATCCCCCAAAACCCGGAATCCCGAAGTACAGGTGGTCTCGGCAAAATTGAAGTTTTGAGCGCGAAGTACCCTCAAAGGAGTACACCACGAGCTCTAGGCTCGTTACCGATACAGTAAGAGGCGCAAACGATAGTCAGTTCAGGGTTCAGGTAACCAGTTGCCACCAGGCGAACTACAACCCAAGGGCCTTTCGGCCAAACGTAACAGATAGGGGCATCATGGCCAGTAAAGAAGGGTACAAAACATACCTGAACCTAAGGGTTACCCGGAACTTCAAGAGGTAAGGAAGAGGTAGCAAGCCAAGGACTTCAGGGAAGCGATAAGAAACACTACAATAAAATAGTCCAAATTAATCAGTTAACGTACCGAAGCTGTATTAAGCCAAATCAACAATCCAAATAATCGGGAAGTTCAACGGAAAATGTATAAACGCGTTAGAACGGCATTAAGAGAGATGCGAGTGAAAGCCAAGCATATGTTACAAAAGGCCTAAAATTAATTCACAATAATCGTAATCAAAAACGTAATCTATACAGTGCAAAAGAAATTAGAAAAATATAGGAGATTATCGGTGGGTCCTATTTATCGAAAATTGCGGCGACGCAAGGTGAACGTTAGCCTTGACGCGAATAAGATGCCGGCTCGATATTTCTTAAGAACAATATCAACGGAAAATAATGCGGACTATCGAATTAATCTAATAAAATTCAACTAATCGGAATAAATTAACAAAAGTCGGAACGGAGGAGGAACGAATACGCGGTAAGTGGCTAGAACGCGACACGCCGGAAGGACGTTCGCAGTACGCAAAATTCTGAAATGTTCCACAGGTAATATGAGTAAGAATAAAATAATTTTCGGCAACTATAATAAAATACGACACACAAGAAATGCTTCACAAAACAATGGAAAATATCGCATACAATCAACTAGGAAAAATCGTTACAAAGCCAGAAATTGCATTTCAGAAAAATCAGAAAAAGTCTTAGCAAAAAGAGAGATTTCAAATTAAATAGCAGTTCGAGAAAAGAAAAGAGAAGAAAACGGTGAGGTATCCTGATACTTACAAATTTAAGGCCTGCCGATTGTCCACGACAGTGCCTCCGTTCGGCCGAGAAGCCGCCTGAGGAACCTCGACCCACCAGACCCAGCTTTTCAAAGGCTACGCCTACAAGACTGCCGCCCGTCTGCATCGGCCGACTTCGCCGGTGCGCGTCAAAGCTCAAGAGAGCTCGGTCATCTCCGTCAACGTTCGTCCCGTTCCGGTGCCGTTTCTGTCTCACGTGGGCTCGCTCGCCAACGATCACCGATCGATTCTTCATTGTCGTGTGAAGCATAGTAATGGATAGCTGTACAAACATTTCGGAAGAGTGAGAGTGAGTGAGAGAGAAAGAGATCAGTTGCGGCCATGCATCATTTTCGCTGTTTCTTGCCGCCTTGGGGTTCTCTTGCTTGAGTTGCATTGCTTACTTTTCTTTTTCTTGGTGAGTTTTTTCGCTTTCATTGATACTTTCTGCCGTTTCTTATTGAAAATTGATTATAGTATACGTGCACGGCTAAACCGTCCGTTTAGCCGGTAGCCGATTCCCTTTTCGTTATAGGGCGAATGTCTTCCCGCTTATTATAGCATAAAGGAGATAGTGCCGTTATAATTGTATTATTGCGTCTTCGATTTTTTGCTTTTCTTATGTGATTTGTGATTTACATCCCTCGTGTGAATAACGAATTTTCTGGAATCTTCGCCAAGTGTACGCGGTGGAATCTGTCTGCCCGAGCGTTTGAGAGCCAGATTCTCTCGCTGCCTATTTATGCTATTTTGCCAATTATCATAAGATATCGTTTACCTTAATAATGCTATTGTTTCAAAACTGTAAATTACGTTGAGATTTCCGAACCCTAAGTTCTGTTGATTTTTATGGCGAACTCACGCCTGCCCTATTCTGAATATCTGGACACTTTACTGTTCCTCGGCTCTCTTTTCTTTTGAGCTGTTATAATTTAATTTGAATTCTCTTTTTGCTGAAACTTTCGTTGATTTTTCTGAAGTACGATTCTTAGCTGTCACGACTTCTTCTAGTTTAGTGTATGCGATATCTTCCGTTCTTATTTTTGTGAATCATTTACTGGGTGGCGTATTTTATTATCGTTGCTGAAAATCATTCTATTCTCACTTATATTGCTGGTGGAATATTTGAGCCTTTTGCGTATCGCGAACGTCGTTCAGACACGTCGCCTTCTAGCCGCCCTCCAAGGTGACCATTGTTTTTTATGTTCCTTTACCTCGTGCCTTCTGCCGGTTTTTGAGATTTTACTACCCGTTCCGAGAACGCCGTACTATTGCAACGATAATTAAATACTCGTTATAATATTTTATTTTCTGAATTATGATATTTTTGGTGTGCCATATTTTGTCTAGTGGTAAATGCCATGCCCCTATCCGTTTAGCTTGGCCGTGTGGCCCTTAGATTTAGTTTACCTGGTGGCAATCGGTTGTCCTGAACCGTTTCTTTTTTGCGACTCTTACATTATCGATAAAACGAGCCTAGAGCTCGTGGTACTTCTTTGTGTGGGTACCTGGCGCCCAACATTTCGAATTTCGCCTAGAGCACCTACGCTTCCGAATTCTAATCTTTTTGAGTTACGTTTTGTTAACGAAAAAGTAACGTCGCGTACACCCAATACATTCAATTCGCTAATGTAATTTTCTGAATCATTCTGTTAATTTCTCCTGTTAATTACATTTGTAGTAATCCTTCTTTGTCATTCTATTATTTCTTAGATTTTCTTCAGTAACGACTTCACTAACTTGATCAGATTCTATTATTGTTTCTGGATCTATAATATATTACGTTGAGATAAATTTTCTGATATAGAAAATATTGAAGAGATATGACTTTTTTTTTAAATTTAAATTGAGTGAACAATTTGTATACATTTCTTGATTTATTCGAGATTGCTGTAGACAATTATTGTCATTTAATAAGTTGTTTACAGAAATCTTTACAATATTATGGAAAAAAACATAGTTTTTCTTTGATATACTTACGTCGACGTCGTTGATGCTCAGCATTTTCTTTGCACCTAGCTCGTTTCAATTCTTTCTCTTCAGATATACGATAAATTTTAAAAGTTATTAAAATATAAGTAATTTTTTCGTTATAAATCGAGTTTTTGTTTATTTCATATATAAATCCTTTCCAATTGTTTGAAGACATGTATACTAAAAAAAAGTGCAATTCAGTAATATTGTTTGTATCTGAGAGTTTAACAAAAATGTAAGGAAAATATTGATATTTGTCTATTAAAGACTTTTGCTTTCAAATAATTCTAATTTCAATCAATGTTATAATTTTCAGTCATTTTATATATCATATTCGTTTTGTTCAATTAAATCATTATGCCATTATCATCATCACAATCGTCATTGTTATAATAAATCCTTTTTTTATATTAAGAAAGATATTATAATCTAGTATAATATATAATACAATGAATAATTTGTAATGCACTTATATTAACATAAAAATACAATAAATATTTTTTTGCAATACTGTATGGAAAGTTCACAGTTTTTGCACCAAAAAACAAGCATAAAATGGGAATGTTATGATTCCCGCACATTCTGAACTTATCAAGAATCGGCCATTTCGTGCTTCTTTGTGATGCGTATTCTGTGAACTTTCCGTACATTGTTGCAAAAAATAGTATATGATACGCGTACGGGTTGGCGATTCCTACTCGTGTGACATTTGCCGTTACACTCATCAGCAATCATCAACTTTCTGTCCTTGTATCATAATGTACTAATAATATACTTATGATAATATATAAAAATAATAATATTAAATTCAGAGTTCAATCAAATGAACTGTATCACGTGTAGTCTTCTGTCATTGATTTGACGTTGATTTTGATCAAACACTTTCCACCTGTAAAAAGAAAGAATTTTATTATACAGGGTGAATCACGAATCGTGATCAGTAGAGATTACTTTGTTATTAGCAGTCCGATCGAAAATGTTTTTATCAGCTTTTGCATGGTTTCAAGAGAGCTTTAACGTGATAGTGAAAAATTACTGGTCAACTCTTTTTTTAAAATGTTTTTCAAGGTTACCTTGAATTTTTTGCAACTGAACATATAATTTTTTACGCCTGTCTGTTAGAGGATTTCAAGACGAATTCGGCACATGTAAGGACATGACATTTTTTTCATCTGGTTCGAAAGAAAATTAAAAAACTTTGTATCACAAGGAGAATCACAGCTATGCCGTTATTACGCATCCAATGTTGACAAGTCAAAATTTACCAATATTAATTGTAGCGATGTTCAAAATGGTGTCTACAAGCTGCAATGCACTCGAGTAGACGGTGAACAAAAGATTGTTTTGCATTCTTTATGGCCTCAAAAACATTTTCGATCGGACTGCTAATAACAAAGTAATCTCTACTGATCACGATTCGTGATTCACCCTGTATAATAAATATAAAAATTGTATTTTTAAAATTATAGTCAAAATTGATATTTTTGCTACATGTAATGTTTATGAATTCGATATCATTTTTTGACAGTTTCCACATGTGGCCTTCATAACATAAGGTCATATGTTAGAATAGAAAATGTATTTAGTGCAAAACCATGCATATACAAGGTTATTCAGTAGAAACACACCACCTGAACAAGGTTAAGGTCTACCAAAGTAATCAAATGGACGGTAATTGTAACCTGAGAAATTTCAATGTACAAATGCTTGTTATTTCTATACTAACAGTATATTGATAATTTAATTCACAGTATTCATTGAAAATTCAGTTGGTCTTAATTAAAATAATATCTAAATAGAATTTGGGATAAAATATTGTTTATAAGGACAAGATTTATAGTAGATATTTTTTAATTAATGGAAACCATTTTACTGAATGATTTTTATTTACATATAGTGTTTATTGGAGTTGCAAAATGTTGTGTGATTATGCATTTGCCTTATCCAATAGATTCAAATTAACATTTCACAGTGTATTACAATTTGTTTAATCTGTTGACAGCATGGACACAGATGACTCAGATTACGACTTAGATTACAGATTTAAAAAAAATAAAAATGGAACCTTGTGCAAGGTTATCCGAAGAAGATGATATAAAGTTTCAACTGGAGAAAGATATTTTAAATTTACCAGTTAAGCCAAGCTTTGCTCCAGAAGGAACCAGTAATATAATAATAGCCTTAATGGTACACATATACATTAAAAAACCTTTTCGGACGCTAAAAACTTCCCTGGAACTTTTGGCTGAACGATGCATACAAGGTAATATGAAAATAAATATTGTAACCTTATATAACGTACGAGTTTGGTATATTACTTAATGAGTTTCTGAAATTATGATTGTTGTGTTGTATAGCTGGAGAGTCACGAGAATTTAGTTGACAAATGTATATAAAGAAAAGGGTTGGCTCAAGTGAAGGTTCAGATAAAAGCAACACAGAGGCGGATAAATATTGTTGGTGTCTTAAGGCCTCTGCAAGACGATGTGAACCTGCAGAAAACAGTTGTAAGTATGCTTTTCCTTATAAAATTTACTACCCTGCTCTACCGCATTATGTTATGCAATAAATAAATGCTATAGAACTATTCTAACAAACCTTACATATACAGTCGCGGTCACATGGATAGCCTCACCCGTTTGAATCGCCGTGCGCTTGTTTTTAGTTCAGATTAAAAACAGTTACTACCTCTATTAAATATCTCCTCTAATTCTAAAATATCTGAGATATTGACTAGTTTATTTAGGTTTGTAGATAATGAGGAAAAAAAATTCTCATGGCTAGTCAAATAAGTATCCGAAATGAATAGCCTCATGGAAAAAAAATTACTAAATTTACAAACAAAAAAAAATATTTTTATTTTTAATATTTTGTACATTTACCTTTGTTCTTAATAACTTCAAAGATACGGTTGGGCATTGATTCATACAATGAATGGAGATATTCTAACTAAAGTTTGTCCCATGCATCGTGAACTGCTTTTATTAACGACTCGGTGTTGGAAAATTGACTGCCCTCTGCGTAGAGTTTTCGAGTTAACCATCCCCAAACATTTTTCATAATATTTAGATCAGGAGAGAGCGATGGCCATTCTAATAATTTCACTTTTTTTTTTGTTCAAACCAACGTTTTGTAGCATGAGCGGTGTGCATTGGGTCATTATCTTGCTGGAAAATCCACTTTTTATGACCACTTTACAAATTTTGTCGTATCCACTGTCAAGGAGATCTACAGTGAGTAACTTTAATATTCGGATACTATGAGATTTTTACTATATTACGTTATAACTTTATTTCTAACAAAAAAAAAAAAATGATTAAGGATTATGATGACGTGTACGCTTAATAAACAATAGCGTACATTTTATTTACATAACTTGCAACAGTTGTTACACACTTGTTGTTAACACTAAAAAATAGAAAAACGGATCTTACACAAAGCCCGTACACATGAATTAACGTTAAACATAAAACCTTTTTTTCGAAGTCGTCTAAATGCCTTGGTACTCCACACCGGATCAGCTTACTCCCAGTCACTGTCCGTTTCATCATTGGATTGGAGCCCTATGATAATAGGATCCACGGGGAATCCTTCCGGGACAATCATTTTATTATACTCGGCCTTGATCAACTCCGTAACATGGTTGACACAATTTGCCCAACTGTGACAGAATACAACATTTTAAATACTGCAATCATATCATTTTTTAATACCTTTGTCTGCGAAATGTATTGGATAAGCCAATATTTCACAACTACTGTCTGAAAATAGAAAGTTAATGAAAATCCATTGTAAACGTTTACAATATGCTGAAAGTCGTTTTTTTTTGCGTTATAAATGGATGTTCAAGAACAGTAGTATCAATTATAAATTAGGATTAAACCATTGGGAGGTCACTGTTTCAAGGGCTTCTTCCCAAGTCTGTCTGACTGTTGCTTCATTAAAAACTTGTCGTTCTGGTAACAGGCTGTTGTAATATCTGTAAATGAGTTATAAGAGTGTGAAGGGCTATTGCAGCAGGTATTATAGATATAGCAATCGGCTACCCGTTTTAGCGCAGGTAGTTTGAAGCAGGAGCAGGAGAAGAGGCAGTGTAAGATAGGGTCGTAATAAGCAGATTAGTGTAGCGTTGTTTTCTACAGAGTAAAAGGATAGATGTGTACCGTTTAGCCAGACCGCATACCAATTCGATAACATTAAATTCTCAATGATAGGGCGGTAAGCGGAGTACCTGGTGCCCAGAAGCCAATATCAGTTCGTCTACCCTGAACCTATTAATTAATAGAGGACAGTCAGGATATGGGAACAGTTTGGAGATTGGAAACCCAGGACGATAAACCATGACACTGAAAAATAATATTTATACGTTGCATGCACACCTTTTTCTCTCTCTCTGTGTAACTGCTAGCTGCTGCAGAACGGCTCATATCGCATTCGGTGGAATAGGCACGTTTCGTTTTTCAAGAAAATCCTGATATTCGTGTTTTTTCCACGACGTTGTAGGCTGTTTTTCTGCAACAGCACTGTGGTACGGTGCATTATCCAGTACCACAATGGAAGGCTCATCGCATTACGCATGTTTCTAAAATAAACTCGTCTTCTTAATGCTTCCAATGTCTTATCAGGACCTAGATGAGCTATAGTGTTGTGGGTTTCCATAATTACATCACGACGCATCTCTTCATCAGTTAATTTCATTAACTTTATTACAGGTGTCATGGAAAGTTTCTTGTCCAGCACCCTCTTTTCAATGACGACGACTGGCATCATTTAAAGCTTTTGATCCATCTGATCCTGAGATGGTTCCTCAAGATTCTCCTGGATAGGTTGATCGCTGCATCCAATTCCTTCCTGGTAAGTAGTCTCTATACTATTGATAAGTTTGACAGTTTCCTCGGATATTGGCTTCATAACAATTTTATTTGTTGTATTTGCTCTTACGAATGTGATCTTCTGTGCTATTACCTCTGAGCTTATTACCTTAGATTTTGCTTTAACTAGGCCTGGTACCCTTTTGTTAATGACTGGTTCCTTTCTGCCCGTGATATAACCTAGGTCTTTGAAAGTGTTCACAAACTTCCCCTGTTGCTTGTTATCCTCTTGCAGAGCCTCTTCGATGCTTTAGGGTTATGTTGCTTCTTATAGCAAGGTCCTTAATCAGGAACTCTCGCTATTTCTCCAATAATGACTTCCTTGAAGTTTTGTTCGAACACCTGTTCGATTGTTTCAGGGTCTTTGTCCATGTTTTTTATTTTGTTATGTTCATATCGGTTTGCAATGTAGTTTTCCTTTTATTGTTATAGGTAGCTCTTATTCCGCACAAGACAGCGAGCGCGCGTTTTCAGAACGAACAATTGACTCGACTCTCCACGTGCTCTCTTACTATTGGTTGCGCGCTCCACGTTGGTGGCGCACTCTTCAAAGTCCCTCGGCGACTACAATATTGTATTATTTGACTCAGAGTGTGCATCATATATTGCTATAAGTAATCTAGAAATTTTTTGAATACTTGTTTTTCTCATCTGGTGATAATCACGGCTATCTATTTGACACCTTTATTTAGCAACAGTTAGAGAACCAAATTTTTGAGTAATCGTAACTTCTCTTTGTACTTAAAAATAAAATATAACGATCTAGAAAAAAATAGAAACGTTCTGCTAGCACCGGTTAGAACATAGGCTGTACGTTCTCATGCCATTGCCAATGCTGAATCTTTAGCAATGTAATAAATATGGATGAATCACATTATTTAACTACCACTCAAGGATTATTGAAAATGACAAACGTATTAACTTTTTACCACGGGCGAGTTCTCCGCCGCGGTAGCCCCGCTGAACGGGCCGCTGCGGCGCGTCGCAACTAAATTGCAGTCTACGCGAGACTGGTCGTCAGCGACTGCGCTCGCGCCTCGCTACAATTGTAACTGGTTTGACGGTGTTTCAAATCACCGAACAAAACAAAATTTTTCACAAAACAGAGTATTTATAACGTCTTAACATGCGCACTTTTAATTACAGTTTAAGAAGAAATAACATTTCGCAATATAATAATATTAAATAGTATAATATGATAGTATAATTATAATGGCCTTTAGTAATGGAATTGCGCATGATAGTTTTCAAAGCACGGTGTAATACATAAGCCAACATCACAAATCTCGCACTGATATCGTGATTCGCACCTCCTGTCATTTTTAAACATACTACGCATTTTCGCAACGGGTTCTTTCCTTTTGTTTTTTCATTTTTATATAGTGAGGGGAAGTGTCTTCCAGTAAGGCGAAGTGGATTCGTTTGTCCGAATTTATTAGCAGTCTTATTCTTATAGCTTGATTGATAACGACTTAAAAGTTGTCGAATTAATTCTAGATGAAATTTTGCCATTGAGACTTGCTTGCCACTTTTTAACTTTAATAGGCAATAAGACTTCCAAATGCACATATGAATTAAATGAAAAAAAATACTTTTTGTACCACTTCAGAGCTTTGCGTTGTGAGTGAATGGTGCTGATGACCATGTCTATCTACAATTTCCATCAATGTATTGTAATCGACAACATACTTCGGTTGTTTAATCATTTTACGCGTTCGGTAATGACGTTTCGTCTGAACAAATTCCTCATTATGGAAAGAGGAAAGCATATATACTTCCCTCTTATTACACCATTTCATCGCTAATAAATGCCTCGAGGACCGAGGACCTCCTCAGGCATTGCTCAAAATGCCCACCTTCGACCGCAATGCAAGCTCGTATTCTGATTATAAAATTGCGCTTTACATTTACGAGCATCTCGGGAGTGACGGTAGCAAACGCTTCGTTTATCCGGCTTCTTAAGTTTTCGACCGATCCAACAGGATGTCGATAAACCTTCTCCTTGATGTACCCCCAAAGGAAGAAATCCAGCGGGTTTAGATTTGGAGATCTTGCAGGCCAGAGCACGGGTCCACCGCGACCAATCCATCGGCGTGGAAAGGCATGGTCAAGTTCTACTGGCCCAGGTGGCGCGCGCAACGCTGGACAGAATTTACGTCGGGCAGCAGCAACGCTGCCGTACCCGTCTATATTTCATTGTTAACTACAACTAGAATAGTTAACATTGTTAACATTGTAAACTATTATAATTATAATGTTATAATTAAACCCGCAGACGCTCTTGCAGCGTCTCGATGGGTGTCCTGTAGACGACTGACTTCACGTGTCCCCAGAGGATGAAATCCAATGGCGTCAGGTCTGGGGAACGTGCCGGCCAGCGACGAGGTCCTCCTCGTCCGATCCAGCGCTCCGGAAACATACCGTCGAGTTGATGACGAATGATGCGGGCTCCATGTGCAGGAGCCCCGTCGTGCTGCAGCCAGATCCTCGTCAGGTCCTCTTCCAGCAGTCCGCTGATGCGCAGGAGGGGTTTTAGGTTGCGCCTGAGAAATCCATGGTATTTCTCGGCGGTCAACGTTCCCTCAAACTGGAAAGGTCCTATCTGAAATTAAAAGAGCAATTTGTTTTAAGAAAAAAATTTAACTTCAATTCCAAGATTACTTACCAGTTTATCATTAATTATTCCTGCCCAAAGATTTACGGAGAATCGGCGCTGATGGCTCACAGGTATCGGAGCGTGCGGATTCTCTGAAGCCCACACGTGAATATTGTGTGTATTCCAGCATCCAGACCGTCCGAAAGACGATTCATCGGTAAACATAATGTTTCCGATGAAAGTCGAATCTTCCTCGTGCCTCTGGAGCAGCCACTCACAAAATTCACGCCTGATAGTGTAATCAGATGGCTGAAGCTCTTGGACACGCGTATAGTGATACGCGTGCCACTTCTCAGCTTTTAAGATCCTATGGATCGTGCCTCGCGATAATCCTAGCGAGCGCGCCACCGACCTCACGCTCGCCGTCGGATCTTCGCGAAACGCGTCCAAAACACGCTCCTCACTTGCGGGCGTCCGTCTCTGACGCGGTGCACCTGTTCCTTGGTGATTAGGCATCGCATTTCCGGTGGACTGCATGTAGTGATACGCGTGCCACTTTTCAGCTTTTAAAATCCTATGGATCGTGCTTATTTTCTCGAGCACTACACATATCAAAAAATTATTGAAATCGGTGGGGTCGGGTTGGGGGGGTTTCCTTGTTAGTATTAGAAATAATTTCCTTAGTATTCTTGTTCTTAGTACACTTCATGATATACTAATGAAAAATTCATTTTTCTCTCACCCTTACGAGCTATAATGATAGCTTCAAACCTTCCACCCTTCTTCCACTTAACAGTACATTTATTGTTGTTGATGTTCATAAGTTTCGACGTTTGAAATATGTCATGATCTCCGTTACTAAATCGTATTAACGAAAACATCTTTGACGTTTACTATCACTGATACGTATTATTAACAAAAACGTCTTTCTTTTTCATACTTCACATATTACTAAGGTACTTGTTACACAAAGGAGTCAGAAAAATATACTAGAATAAAGACTGTTGGGGAAGAAAAATAGAACGATACTCTAGCGTACCAAGGTAGGTTTGAACACACACCCTACATGTAGATTATAAGTGTTTCATATACGCGTGGTCGTGCGCGCGACAATATGCCAGCCAATGAAATTCTTATAATATCACGTGGAATCGCATCGCATAGATGTAACGGTCACAAAAATACTACAATTTCTATATTCTGTGTTCAGAAGCATAGATTTACGGCAGAAAAAATAAATTTGATTAATGAAAGTTTTACTCGTGTTTGCAGTAACCCCTTTGTTTATGCAGTTTTAAAGTCTGAGAGACTTAAAATAGCCGGTTAGCAATGTGCTAAAACCGTTAGATTTACGAATACGACCAATCGAATTCGTTTGTTGTTTGCGCAGCTTTCTGCTGAACGCAGTCTTTGGTTGCCGTGCTGTTGCAAGATCTAGTTTGAAATCGAGCTCTTAACGCTCTTAACCCATTTTGGCAATGCTGAACCCAGGCACACTAGAGTGAAACTAATTATTGGATTGCTTGCATTAAGTAAAAAAACCTTATTTTTTCTTATTTCGTTTCTAATTGTTTAAACATTTTGGTTTAAAAAATTGATCAAATATTTTCGAATTTCAAAAAAAAAATTTATTCGATTCTACAGGAAGAATCATAAAAAAAATGTTAATAACATTTTTGTCGTGTCCGAGCCTAGTCGTTACAAACAAATAAGAAGAATCACGCGGCAGCGAGCTCTGGCGTGGTACGGTAAACCGTGGCATTCTCATTTGTTTATAATGATTTTACTACACAAAAGAGGTTGGGACAAAAATGTTATTAACTTGTTTTTCATGGTTTTCCCTGTAGAATCGAATGATGTTTTCAGTTTTTTAAAATTCGAAAATGTGTAGCCAATTTTTTAAATAAAAATGTTTAAACAATTGGAAATGAAAAAAGAAAAAACAGCATTTTTTTTTAATTAATGCAAAGAATCCAATAATTAGTTTCATTTGATCGTACTTAGGTTCAGCATTGGCGTTAATGGTTCTAATACATAGGTTTAATGGTATTTTCCAAGACCGATCGTAAAAGTAACATACGAGCATAATTTTGTATTAAATTTATAGTGTATCACTTTTTTCATAATATGTAGCATCAAAATAACACCTTCTTCATGATTAAAAGAACAGAAATCTTTTAAAAATTGGATTAATCAAGGCAAACATATATAATAATTTTGTTAACCACCTTCTAGGACCACTATTAATTCAGACGTATTCTCCATAATTTAGGATAGATCCTATAGACTTCCATTATGTTTACATTTTTCAACATATCTGCTCTGTGAACACATAATTTGAAGTTCACGTATAAGCAGCAGCGCTGTTTGATTGCGTTGATTGCTTGATTGTCTTCAACTCAACAGTAACTGCAGCATATTTTCAAACGTCTCATCTGAATTCTTAGTTCATTATTATTGTAGCACTGTGCTACAGAGGCATTTGTGACATATAAAAAAGTGCATTTATAACATATACATATTAATTAAGGGAATGAGGCCTATCAAATAATTTAGGCCTAGTGGCACTTTCTAGGACCAATAATAATTGTAACGTATTTTTTGTTTAAGTTCGTCATGAATTTACAGTCAATCACAATTAAAGACGCATGTATCTTAATCTAAAAGTTGTATAATCATGACAGGTAAAGAATCATAAATGTTTTGCACATAGTGGCTTATTCGGGGATCGATGATAATTTTGAGATGTTTTCCAGAGTTTCCAATCCAATAAACAGTTATTCCTTACTTTAACAATATCTGAAACGTGCATTACATCAGTAAGGAATTAAAAGTGTATGTATCTCACACATAGCGCAGCTTCATTATAAGCAAAAATAGTAGAAAATATTTTAAACAAAATAAAACACTACGCAGTCGAAGGTAATATCACCCCATTTTACATAATATGGATTTGTAATTATTTGGTTACAAAAAAAAATTAATTCAGCAAGTTCATCATCATCATATTTGAAAACAAGCGGAATCAAATTTCACTATATGCTCAGTTCTTTAAATATTAAGTTATTATTATGTATATTTCATGTCAGCAATAGATGGGTATACTCGAGGACCGTAGACGGTGTTAACTGATTTTTTATGAAATGACAATTTCCAGGACCGGGGCGTGTCGTGGGCGTTTGAAATTGGGTTCTGGAATGTAACTTTATATACAAATTTCTATTTTAGACCCTGAACCTACCATTAAGTACAAAATGGCATATTTCAGCCAGGTTCTTAAA